TGCTTCACATACTCAATGCTTTCTCTGTTTTCTCCATCAAGCAATTCTCCCCTCTTTTTCTGTTCTTCCATTCCACCATCTGCATTTTCCTGGGTGGTGCTTAGCATTTCTCTAACTATTCTGCATACTTCTAGCTTCAGGTCATTGATAACTTCATTCCTGAATTGGTCTATGAGGCTCTCTAAATGGCGCTTAATATATATTGGTGCAGTGTCCACTATTGCCTGATTCTCAGGATTGGGGGTCGAGGAGCCTTTTTTGTTGCTTCCCTTCCCCATATTTTCTGTTCCTTATAAAATGTAATCTTACACAGGAGGCCCGGCTTCCCTGCCTGTCAGCCACAGCTTGATTAAATTGCGCTGGCTAGTTGTTCCCGCTCACCGCGGCGCCCCAGGGAGTTGCGGAGGAGGCAGCCTACGCGGGAGTCGGGAGTCGGTCGCTCCTCCGGGCCACCGTCAGGCTCTGGGATCTGGGTTAGGCCAGCCTAGGGAGTCCGCGAGCAGCGTCCCTCCGGCCAGGTACCTTTCACCAATCCCGTCCGAGAGGGAATCGTGCGGCTGCAGTTGCCACCGCGCCCTGCTCTTACAGGGCTGCCCGCGCCCAGAAAAACCTCCGCTGGAGTCAAACTGCGGTAGGGAGTCAGTTCCTCGCTCACCTCGCCATCAGTCAGCCTTCCTCCCTGTCCGTCGCGTTTCCGACTCCGTTCGGAGACTCCCGTTCCCAGAGCTCGGCAGTCGCGTCTCTCCTTGCCGAGCCCGAGCCGCTGTGGACCAGGCGCCGGCCGCCGGGCGGGGCGGGAAATCCAAACCGCGGTTTCCGATGGCGCGGGAACTACTCCCGTTCCCAGAGCTCGGCAGTCGCGTCTCTCCTTGCCGAGCCGCTGTGGACCAGGCGCCGGCCGCCGGGCGGGGCGGTAAATCCAAACCGCGGTTTCCAATGGCGCGGAGTCGAGCCTCCACACCGAGATTTTTCTGTTCCTATTTTAGCGCCAGGACTGTATTCCAAGTTGGATTCTCTCAGCCCAGTTCGTTCCTGAGTCAGCAGAGCATATCTCTACTCGGGGCTGGGGGTTTAGCTCAGTGGCATAAGCACCTGCCTTGCAAGCAGGCGGTCGTGAGTTTGATCCCCGGTACCGATAAAAATGAAAATGAAAATGAAAAAAGGCTTCAAAGCAATGTAATGGGGAATCATGATTACCATAAACTCATGTACTCTGACCATTTCTTACACTAGGGAGACTATATGGTATTTATACATGTGAGTTTGATTTATTTTGCTTATGAGTATTGATAGAACTGTGGGGGACCAGCAGCGGCTGAAAAGATAAGAAGTATGAAGTATAAATGACCTTTATTTTGAGAATGCGGGGAGAGACATCCCTCATCCCCTGGGGCACAGCATCTCTACCCCGGGGGTCAGTGATCTCTCTGTGGAACACGTGGAGTGGAGGCATATAAGTAGCCTCGGTTTGCGGTGTAATCTAAGGGGGGCATTAGGGATGCATGGGTAGCCCATTGGTCCTTGTTTGGCGCCATAGGTAAATTCCTAGGGGAGGGCAAGATAGGAGCTCCTTGGCTTTACAGGCTACAGTGTCCTGTCTGGGCCAAAAATCTTTCAAGTATGGTCTCAAGTTGCATCCATTTATTTATAAATATCTCAATGTGATCATTCTTTATAGCTGAATAGTACTCCATTGTATAAAAATACCACAACTTTTTTATCCACTTCTCAGTTGATGGACACTTAGGTTGTTTCCAAGATCTGGCTACTACAAATTGAGCTGCTATAAACATGGGTGCACATATATCACTGTAGTACGACGTTTTCAGTTCTTCTGGGAATATGCCTAGAAGTGGAATAGCTGGGTCAAATGGGGCTTCCAATTCCAGCTTTTTGAGGAATCTCCAGACTGACCTCCACAAAGGTTGTACCAGTCTACACTCCCACCAACAGTATACGAGAGTTCCTTTTCCCCCACAGCTTCTCCAGTATTTGTTGTTGGTAGTTTAGTTGATCCTGGCCATTCTTTGTGGAGTGAGGTGGAATCTCAGTGTTGCTTTAATTTGCATTTATCTAATGACTAATGATGATGAACATTTTTTCATGTATTTATTTGCCATGTTGTATTTCTTCATCTGAGCAGTTCTCAAGTCTTACACATATTTCCTGTGGGCACTATCTGATGAGGTCAGTGGTCTGCATGGTTGCACTAGTTCAGCGCCCCTGAGCAGGCCAGCTCCCAGGGGCAGGACTGTTGAATCACAGCTGGGCCTGGAGTGTTTTAGGGGAAGCATGGCCACTGTTTGCAGATTTGGGCCCTCTGTTTTGCTAGTATACCACACATCTCTTAATGAACACCAAACATGGGGTGATAGAAAAAGTCAGCAGACATAAAACTCAAATGCTGTTTGAAGTGATGCAAACCTGCAGTGCAGCAATTACAGGTTTTCAGAGAAATAGACCTTGTCTTGTCACTGAAAGCACAAGGCCAAAGCTACTCTGTTTTGAATTTAAATGACCTGGCCATATACTCACTACCCACTACTAAGGTTAAATACCCAAAACAGTCGATTTCCAAGACAAGAGCCAAGGACTTTCCACTGCACACTGAAATCCCTTTCCTCTAATTAACCAAGGAATTTGCTGCTCCTCCTGTACCACCAAGTTTTCAGCTACCAAATATTTTTAGCCTCTGAATTCAGTCAATGAATTTAAGGATAGATGCTTCCTATGTGTTAGGGCTTAAAACCCCAGTTCCTGCAATACCCAGGGTATGTGCTATCTCATTGCTGGGGTATTCTTGCAATCTTTTGCAAAAGAAAAAGCCCTGTCACTATTCCTTGATGTCATAGTGCCTCATCATGTGCACTGAAAAACTGAGCCTGAGTGTATTTCCAAGGGGTTGAAGCCAAAGGAGTGCAAATTTAAGGTCAGCCTGTATTATAAAGACACACACACATACACACATATGCATGCACACACATGCACGTGGCAAGAACAGCAGCAAACCTTAACAAAGTTATGCAGCGGGGGAGGCTGGGGGGCTGGCTCAGTGGTACAGCATTTACCCAGCATATACAAGGCCTTGCCTTTGATCTCCAGTGCTGCAAAAACAGAAACAAAAAATATCCTTGTTTCAAAGATTGCAGTCTTAGTTTTACTTCATCCAATACACAATCATGGTAAACTCAAGTGTAGGAAATGGGTGTCTACTTTAGGAGAGACAGAAATGAGACGATGTGGAAAGAGATGCAAAAATTAAAGGGGACTGAGGAGCCACAGTTGGTGATTCATGCTAGTGTGGTTCAACCAGATAACCAGAAGGGTACTTTACAAATATCCTTTTGTAATCCCAAATATTGAGTATTGTAATCAAAGTATTATAATCCCCTTTTCAGTCTTCTTCACAATTCAAAACGTTATGATTGTAACCCCACTGAGATGTTATTGGTATCTCAGCAAATTAAATCAAATCTATTACCTCCAATGCAACACACAGCAAGAGTAAAGACACAAAGACATATTCAAAATTAAGGGCACCCCAGAGGTCCTAAACTCAATCCCTACGAGGAGATGCAGACAAAGACTTTAACCCAAGGTCTCCCCCTGAATTTATCTTGTGAAGAAGGGGGTGGCTTGAGGGTGAGAGACAGTGAGGATGGAGGGCTACATGAGCAACTTGAGCTGACTAACTAGGTAAACAGAAAAGCATCTTTGCAAAATTCAGAGAGAATGACCCGCAGAAGTACCAATCTGCATAATTCAATTAAGGTAGCAATAGAATTGTTTTTGGAGGCTGTTGCTTCAGTTTCTGAAATGTATACTTTTGCACCTTAAGGACTCATAGCCTCTTTATTTCAAGTTGACAGTTGACAGTCCTGAAGCCCACCGTCTCTGTTATCCCAGTGTACCCATATCTTTTACAAAGAGTGCTGTGCAAGGCAACAGGAGACTGTCTGATGGTTTTAGAGATTACATACCTCGGCTAGCCTTATTTGCAATGTTTAGAACTAATTGGAGAGGGAAGGAAATACCATAGTCAGTTCTGTACATATCAGTATATGGAAAAAAGCCTTTATATGATCAGTGTTGCGGCAATTGTTCTGCATTCAAGAAGAGTCAGTCAAATTCTTTCCTACAGTATCTAATACATCTCTCTGGCATAACAATATCATAAACAAGAGAATCATATGACTCCATATATTTTGTTTCTAGTAATATGTGTTCAAAGGAGGAGTATTTTAACCTGTAGGGAGGAAACTCCTGGGTATGAAAAGCTATGGTTTGAAGTCCTTCTGTATCCCTTCCTCTTCACTGGGAAGGGACCAAACAACCAAGGAGGGGCTGAATTTGAGCAATCATTCCAGTCCTCATACCTGGCAATTAGCTTGTTGTCAACTTTAATCCTGGATAAAATACAAATCTTGCCTAAGGGAATTGCAATATTTGTTTTTCCTAGTTCTCCATCTACAGTTTTTCTTGTGAGGGAGTATATTCACTTTCTTGAATAAAAGTGAATAGATTACAATAGTGTGAAAATCTTGATGATGGAATCAGCTGCCTTATTGCCAAACAGTCACCTGTGAAAAGGCAGCACCCCTTCTATTATATTCATTCTTGTGCTGTCTCACACTCATGATGTTCTCTTATATCAGGGCACTGATTCTTCCACAGGACACTAACCATAGAAACGTCTGAATACACTAGGGACCCCATTTCAGAAGCGCACACTACATCCATTGAGAAAACAGAGGCAGATCTAGAAAGTCAGGAGTAAACTGCTTAAATGCAATTATTCTTACTCGAGATAAAGTTGATATTGTGGGAAAGAGCATTATCCAGAATTTCCTGAGTGATAAACTATCATTTGGGCTCTAGCCAAGCAGGGAGGAGTTTACTTTCTCTGGTCAGAGGGAAGGCAATGGAGCAGGAGCCAATCAATAAGGGGGAGGCGGGCTGCACGAACTGTCCAATGACGTGACTGAGGTGGGCGGGGACTTCCGGTGTCATGGCTCCCTGTCGTGATCGCAGTGATGAGGGATCCTCAGTTCCGTTAGACAACCTTCTGGAACTTCTGCTGACTGCAGGACGCGTGGGAAGACTTGGGACACCGGGAAGCCGCGCAGTGGTGATGGTGCGGGACGGAAGTCGGGGAAGGGATGGGTTCGGGCTTATGGCTGAGAGGGGGCGGCCAGAACCAGCTCTGGGAGCTGCAGCCTCCCTGCCGAGCTCCAGGCCCCGAGGTCCTCCTGGGCTCTGGGGCTTTTGCCACTTTTCCCTCGGCGGGGTCAGGGTCACCGCCGTGTTCCGTGAGTCCGTCCCCACGGTGACACTGCCCGCCCACGGTGCCGTCTGGTGTGGCCCAGCACCGCCTCAGCAGTATGGGGAGAGCGGGGCTCGGGGCGGCCCTCGTTCAGGATGCTTGGAGCCGGTGCGGCTGCGGGGCGCTGGGTCCCTGGTCTCGGTGCTCTCAGTAGCAGAACTGGAGGATGTGACGGTTATAAATGTCTGCAAGGCAGGGTCTCAGACCCACACCTTCTCTCCTCAGACCTCTGCCATTTTCTATTCACAGTGAAGTCCTGTGTTTCCAGTATTTCCCTACATTGCCAGCTCATAATATATGCACATAAGTGCCATGAGAATGCGATGCAAGGCTTAACACTGCAGGTAACCTGACTCCGGATGAGTGCTTCCCAAGCATGCAGTGAACTCAGCAAAGCAATTATCACCCTAGTTATTTATGGCAGAGCCCTATTGACAACTAGAAAGAACACTATCATCAACTCAGGATACTACGGAGTGAGTTCTTGAAACCTAAGGAAGATGGTAGTACTCCTTCTGGTAGCTCCGCATCTCAGGTCTCTAGACTCACCCTTGCTGAGCTTGCCTGTCTCTGACATATAAAGAGGAAAAAAAAAATCAGAGATCAGCGCCAAGCAAAACTGTATTACAGGTAGTGCAAGAAAAGATACAAAGACACTCCATAAGAGAAGCATGAATAATCCAAGCTGAGTCACAAAGCGGGGTGCCTTACTGGTTCATGGGATGGGGGCCCTATCTCCACCACCTCCAAGGGTCACTGTGTGATTGGTTATTGGACTTTTTGGTAGGACCTGGCTTTTGCTATAGGCAATTTTCCAGCAACCATTTTACCAACACATTTTGGAGAAGTTACCTTCTGCAAAGGGAGCTTAAAGAAGCAGGGTGTAGCTTATACAGATACACGAGTGAAACTACAGCTGTCAACAAGACTTTGCTGTGACACAGAAACTATGTCTCCTTTACTTCTTACAGGGCTCAGTTCCCTATGTAACTGTCCTTATATGCCTCAGTTCACCCTACATTAGGCGAATTTTCATTGAAAGTAAGAATACCTCCCCTGATTTTTGGAATCATCCGGAGTGGGTGGCTAAATGGCTGCTCAATCCAGAGCTAATTATAAATAACCAGAGCACAGTAATTGTTTGGTTATTTAATGTCCACCTCTCACAGGTGGCTCTGTGTATGTAAAATGACTGTGTTAAACTCAGGAAATCAAACGTATTTTCTTAACGTGTAAGGCTGAAAAAAAAAAAACTGGGATTCTAGAGAAAAAGTGGTTGTTTTGCACTTTAAGTTCAGGGAAACTGGACAGTTTGGTGAGGAGTGGCTGGAACTCCTTGTAGGATGGAAGACTGCATTTCCTGTTTCCTGAGGAAGTTCCGTCTTGTTCTTCTATCTATAGTTCACTATGTCTTCTTATTTTATTTCTCATTATAATGGCTTATTTCTCAAACACACTATAGGCTGTTTTCTTTTGCTGGGTGCCTTATTTATAAAGTAGCTAAACAACCTATTCTTTACAAACGATCTAAATGATGCCTTCCAGAGAGCTTAGAATGCTGAGGAAAATGGTGGGGATTTTAATGTATTGTAAATGTGGAAAGAGGTGGTCTTTTTTATTTATTTATTTATTTTTTGTCTTTTTCCTTTTTATCGGTACCAGGGACCGAACTCACGACTGCCTGCTTGCAAGGCAGGCACTTATGCCGCTGAGCTAAATCCCCAGCCCCTGGTAGTCTTTTTGACAAAGAAAATAATTAAAATATGTTCATTTTATAAGAATTCCTACCCATGTAAAATCCTTTTATTGTAATATGTACATGTGCTTGTTCACTATTATAGAAAACTTTATGTGGCAGATGGATAGGGCTATGTGCCTATCCATCTGCCATAAAACTTTTCATCTATGGGCTTTCCAGACCACAGAATTCAGTCTGCCTGGCCACCATGAAAGTACCAAATTTTGTTAGATCACAAGGTCCACTCCCATCAATGGTGTGATGACAGTGTGCTTCAGGGATAAAATACAGCCAGCTCATCTTGCTTGCTTGGCATTGTCTCTTCTGCATAAAGAAAGTTTAATTCACTGAGAAACTTTTGAAAGTAGGTTTTAATTTGTTCTGTTTGTGACACCAGTCAGTTTGTACCCAAAATCAAGGAATGGGAAAGGGGTCTTGCTAAGGACAACCTTCTGGGAGAGCTACAGGTAAAACTCAACCTGAGAAACACATTTAACTGGGTCATCGACATGTAAATAGATGTGATACTGGCAGTGGTTGGAAGGGCAAGAGCTGTCATCCCTAAAATCATTGCTATCATCCTTGTACTGTTTCTACATATTGAATTAAAATTGAGATGTTGATTGAGATGGACTTCTTATAAAACAAGTACTGAAGCAGAGGTAAATCCCCAGAGTTAGGTTCTACATGCTTAAAAATGAATAGGAAAAAAAGGAATTTTTGAATAGAGAAGAACAATGAGGATTAAAAAGTAAATAGGGTAGCAAAAATAAGGTGGCTGATTGTGTTTGTAACTGTATATGCATCTTCCAATCTGTTCCACTGGTCCTCAGGGTTATTTTTTTGCCAGCACTCTGCTGCTTTTATCACAGTAACTTTGTGATAATTCAAGTCAGGGATTGTGATGTCTTTGCCTCACCTTTGTTGCCCAGTGTTGCCTTTGCTATTCTGGGCATTTCTGCTTGCAGATGAATTTTAGCAGTGTTTTCTCTAGTTCTGTGAGGCATGTTAAGGGTATTTTAAATGGAAATGCATTAAATCTGTATAACATTTTGGGGAGTATGGCCATTTTCACTGTTTGCCCTTCCTACCCATGAGTAAGTGATACCCTTCCATTTTCTGATATCCCCTTTAATCTCCTTTTTCAGAGTACTGCAATTTTGATGATATAGATCTTTTATTTGTTTTGTTAGATTGATCCTACCTATATCATTTTTTTGGATGCCATTGTGAAGGGTGTTGTTTCCCCAATTTCTCTCTCAGTGTGTTTTTATTTTTTTATTTTTTATTTTGTCTTTTTCGTTTTTACCGGTACCAGGGTTCGAACTCACGACTGCCTGCTTGCAAGGCAGGCACTTATGCCGCTGAGCTAAATCCCCAGCCCCGTCTCAGTGTGTTTTTAAAATGATGCTCTGAGCCAAATCCTTTGTGATTGTTCCAGCAAGCTTACAATTACTGAAACATTCCTTAATAGAAGTCCACAGAAATAATGTAAATACATAAATTAAGAATATGACAAACAGTTCCATACACATTTGGGGTTCTTGAGAACTTGTTTGCTCCATGTTTAACAATTGATAACATCAATACATTTCTTTTTCTCTAGTTTCTTGTAAACCTATTTCTTTTTGGATTTCTCCTAAGCATATTTATATCTTTAGCTTCTCTTAAGCCTATTTTTCTTCTTAGCTTCTTTTAAACCTATATCACTCTTTGACCACAATGAAATCATATTTTGATCCAAGTTTAACACCTGATGATTTTACTGTCCATTCATTCCATAATGAATACTAAGCACTACCAATGCACTTCTCACTTTTGCATGCACACACTCATAAGTCCATGCTTCAGTTGCTAATTGCTGCTTACCAGAGGAGCACTCAATATTCTCAGTGGGAAAGACAGTGAAAAGATGGGAAAATGAAAAGAGATGAAAGTTGGGGTCAGGTGGAGTCCTCTGTCTTGATTGGGGAAAAGAAATGCACATTTATTTCTACATTCAGAAGTATAATATCAATCTCAATTCCTCTGCCTCATAACTTGTTTTCCAGGCTGGCCTGGACCCCTTGCCTTCTCATAGTTGTGAAAACATTTTATGTGGCTTTCTTTGGGCTCTACCTGTTATCATGGCTGGTCTGATTTTAACTCCACATGTGTGATGAATCTACATCCTCAATCACTCTCTGAGCAACACTACTGTGTTATGATTTTGTTGTTTCTTTGACTTTTTTTGACTAATAGTCTGGCTGCTGCAATGCATCTTGCCAGAAGATTTTAGCATGATAAGTCTGGGTCTCTCTTAACATTTAAAAATTTTAATGGAATACCTGTTACAAAACTGCAATCTGAAATCTTGTCCTGGAAATAGCCAAAAGTTAAAGGAAAATCTGAATATGCTGCCCTGTTTTTTCTTTGTCTCTGAATGCACATAATCTGGAAAAAAATTAAATTATTTGAAAATGATAATTTTGTATTTGTAGTTTTTCTCCTTGCAGCTAGTTTTCATGAGGCACAGTTTGAAGGGCACATTGACAGTGTTAGAAACAGCTGTTTTCTTTTTCAATCATTATTTTACATAAAACAGTTCATTAAACTCTCAAAATTTACTGGGAATGGGAACCCCCTAGGGGGGTCTTAGTAAGACAGTGGGATTGCTGAGATCTACACTGATTTTTTTTTCATTCTGTAAATGTGAAGTGAGGAATTTATCAGAGGATGATCACCTGCACTTTCTAGTTGGAAAGTTCACCACTTTATTAGAGAAAACAGTTTACCCAAGGACAGGGATAGAAATAAAAAATAAATCAACTTATAAACCTAAAGGTAATTTAGAAGTTATCAGAAAATTTAGAGTAAGATATACACAGTATCAACAAAGAAATCATATTTATACTTACAGATTTTAGGTACTATAAATTTGTTTAAGAATTTGTGGTTTACATTGACAAGAAAGTCACCATGTTTTATATTTCCTGCTTACAAAAGATCTGTAAAAATGTAAATAAATATTAAAAAACTCAAAGACACAACACAGAGGTAGCAAGAAAGGCATTATTATGCAATTTCCAGTCAGAATACGTCTATGATAGTTGTTTAAATTTCTGAAAATTTCAATGAAAATCATGATTCCAAACAAAAATAAGAAAAATATATGACCCATTCAGACTAGTATGGCAGTTCAAATTATAACAAATACCAAATGTGATTTCAAATACCACAACAATATTAGATCACTTAGCTTCAAATAGCAAAGGAGAAAAAAGATTACCGTATGTGTTCAGGATCTTAAGGAGTAGGAATTTAACTTCAAAGGTATAAGAGAAATAGTACAAATAGAAAATACATGTCCATGAATCAAGGCTTCCAACAATCCTGTCTGAAGGAAATGATAATTTCTGGGTACCAATAGAATCTTTCAAAGTTAAATAAACACATCTAATATATGAGATCCATACATAAGACCAGTTATAAAGTATAAACTCTAAGCATATAGCCTTTTTATACCTTTTTATGAATATTTTTAATTCATCTATATGTATAGCACATAAAGTCCACCTTCCTCGTGTGTACTTTGAACATGTATGTAGCATATTTCACTTACTTTCTTTCAAGGTCCCTGCCTTTCTCTCTTCCCTCACTCTTCCATTGTTTGATCTCCTTTTAGTTTGACAAATGTCAGTCTCACTACATTCTACTATCTGTCTTTCATTTTGCTACTTTTATCTGTGTTTCTCATACAAGAGGAAACATAGGAATGTCAACTAGTGCAGCATTATGAAACCAAGTGTGGAGAGTCTTAAAATATGAAATGAGAATGCAAGCTCTGAGACTGGGATATAGATCAATAGAGTATTTTTCAAGTGTGTGGGAGACACAGCACTTATTCTACATAAGCATATAAATCAGTAAAAATATGTGTTTTATCACTCACATTGCAAGTATCAAAAAGATATGAACATCTTCAAGCTTAATCAAGAATCGAAATATAAAAAAATTAAAAATTATGAAAGAAGATCAAATATTTTATTTTTCTTGAAATTTCAGCTATTACATTAGCTAAAGGTAAGAATGTGTTATTGGCTGGGAGACTAGTTTTACACAAAACTGTGAGTAGAGGAAGAGGGTCGGGTTCTTTGGTATGCACGTGTTGACAAATTTTAGTTTTGCCTTTATTTTTATACTTTAAAGTATAAAATGCAGATGTTTAAATTTCACAATGTTGAGTTTTGTACATACTTGTTATCCATGCTGCTTCTCTCTAATATCCATTACATTTTCATGATTTCTTCTCATATAGTGGAGTTTCCTAGACTTTGGGGGGTTACAGATGCAGAAATTTGATGGAGCACAGGTTTATGTAATCTCATTGCAAGTCTCAGAGACAGGAGATTTATCTAGTTACAGCAAAATTTTGTTTAAGAATTATTTTTCCTGTTCTTATAAATTTCTGGCTTAAAAGAGCATCAGAGTTGTGAATATCAGAGTTTTAATTTAAATAATTAAGTGATGTATTATCTTCCATATTAAAGCCAAATACCATTTACAAATTTCATAATGAATGTTAGCTTATTCTGTGTTTTTAAAAAATTTCCTCTACAGGGGCTGAGGATTTAGCTCAGTGGCATAAGTGCGTGTCTGGCAAGCATGAGATCAGGAGTTTGATTCCCTATACTAATACCAAAAAAATTTATTCTATATACATGCAGATATAAAAGGCCCGTGTAAAGCTAAAGTTAATTAAAATACATCAACTATAAATTCTAAGATTTTATAGGAGCCTATTCTTTCAAAGACAGAAGAAATTTACTGATTGCTTATTCTTATGATTTCATATTTCTCAGCCAATTGTGTAAGAATGGGTCAATACCTGTGTGTGTAAATCAGCCATAATTACTTTTAACAATTTCTCAATCTAAGAAAAATCAAGAGAGAATCTGCTTCCTAATTTATGAGTGACAGCTTGGTCAACGGTTCTCACATAAAAAATTTGTGAGGCAACACTTCCTTCCATCTTGTAACTAAATGACTTCATGAGAAATTCATTGAATCCAGTTGCCTTCAAAAATGAAACTTCCAATATGATGACATTCACACATGTTATAATTATGTGAGTGTGTGGAAAGAGCAGAATCATGCAGTTCATAAGTGGCATTGGACTTCATTAGAAGATTTTCATTGACCGGGTATTTTCCCTATTGTATGATTTTTATACAGGCTGATGCCCAACAACTACCACTCCTATCTGGCCTTACTTTTGCCATAGAGGAGATCAACAGGAATCCTTAGCTTTTACCCAACATTTCTCTGGGCTATGAGTTCCATAATTTCCTTTATATTGGAAAATACTAGAAAACTTCATCTTGCTCACTGGACAATATGAGATTCCTTATTACACATGTAGGAGAGGAAGCAAGTGTGTAGCAGTACTGATGGAAATGTCATGGGGAACTTCAGCAGAGATTGGACTACTGCTAGAACTCTACAGATTTCCACAGGTGAGTATCGGTGGAACAAGAAATGATGGAAACACATCCATCCCTGGTATTTCCACTACTAGGATTATACAGGGTTAAAAGTCAGGCTGAGATTAGCATCATTCAAAGTGAACTATGCACAAGATCGTGTACATAGATACTTATAGAGTAACCCTATTTTACTTTTCTGCATTGGATAAAGAAAGCAATGATACTCCCTGGAGTCTCAGTCCATTATTTTAAAATGTATAAAAGTATTTAAGGAGTGAGATGATAAAAATAAAAATCAGTACATTTATCTCTTTGTACAATTGCCAGTTGTTACTTTGTATGGTTCAGTTCACCTACTGTGCTTTCCCTTGAAGTTCGTCAGAATTTTCTTCCAATTTTCATTTCCTTTTAGGTTATCTTTGGAGATTATGCTCCTACACTGACTGACAGGGGCCAGTATCATTCTCTCCATCAGGTGGCTCCAAAGGACACCTACTTGGCCCTTGGCATAGTGACCTTGATGTTTCATTTCCAATGGGCCTGGGAGGGTCTGCTCATCACAGCAGACCATAAGGATCTTCAGTTTCTCTTGGATGTGTGAGATGAGATGGACAGGCACAGAATCTGTGTAGCCTTTGTGAAAATGGTCTCAACTGTGACTGTGTCATATCTCTCAGTCATACAGAAACATGATATTTTCACTGCAGATACATCATCAGTCAATGTAGTTATTTACTATGATAATGATAATCGAAATTATTTACACTACAACATAGTACAAAGCTTAGGGACTTGGAAAGGCTGGGTGACAAACTCACAAGGGCATGCACACCTGAGCGGGAGAAATTTCATACTTGACACATTCCATGGGGTTCTAGTTTTTTCACACCACCACGAAGAGATTTCATGTTTCAAAAATTTTGTCAAGGAAGCCACTCTTTTCAAATACCCAGAAGACTCTTATCTGTTTATGTATTGGTACAAGAATTTCCATTGCTCCTTCTCTGAACCTGACTACATTAGAGAACTGTACACCTAATGCCTCTGTGGCTTGGTTGCCTCCAAATAGTTTTGACACAGGCATGAGTGATGAGAGCTACAATATATACAATGGTGTGTATGCTGTTGCCCATGCTCTCCATGTGATGCTTTTTGAAGATGTACAAAGGCCACCAGTGAGAAATAGAAAAGTAATGATGTTCCCCCACTGGCAGGTAAAGTGTCTTTCCTTTCCTGGCATACGATGTCATTAAGGTGCCTCTTTCAAGTGTTTCTACATGTTTAACCCAAGAATATTAGAATAATTTCTACAAATAGAAGACATTCTATGTCACACTTACTGTTAAGGAAATAATTCTTGAATTCAGTTGAAATGATCCTCAATAAAAGAGCCACTGCCAAAGAGGAGAAAACAGGAAGCAGGCTCATTGCTTCTGTCTTATAGGATATCAGTACCTTGTCCAACTAAACAGATCCCATGACATGCATAAAGAACTTACAATAGGATAACCTGTAGTCATTTATAAAATTAATTTCATTAAAATATAGATGCACATATTGTAGGTATTTTACATTTAGTTCTGCCAACTCTTCAGTATTGAACACATTTTTTTAAGATGTTAATGGGAGATAGAAACACAATGGAAGCTGTGTTAGAAGTTTTGGTTCCACATTCTATTATTTTGCCTAACACAACTGTACTTTTTATTTAAATGAGCTTGCATAGAATATCTGTTCTGAAACTGACTGACATTTATGGAACATGGTGACATTTTAGCCCTTAAGTATTCATGTGCTCTAATTCAATAGACACAAGTATTCAATTTGCCTCATGTTAAAGAAATGTAAGATACTTTAGGAAATTCTCTTACCTATATTTTTCTGTCTTTATCCTGGGTTTCTGTTCACACTGAATGATGAGCCCTTTTAGCTGCATCCCTTTCTGAAAACATCCAATTTAGCAGTCCTCCTGAAGAGCAAGTGATCTTGAATGATAGAAGA